GTTCGTATATAGAGACATAATATGCATATCAATGTAACTTTTTTAAACATTTTAATATATTTGATGAGTCTGATATTAGCTTAAAATCTCTTGATTATGCAAGTTATCTTTTCCGATTGATTCTTTCGTACGTTTGATTCTCATTAGTTTATGACTCATTGTCAGTTAATCCCCTGAAGGAAAATTCTTATTTTTCCATGATTTCTTTTATCACTGGTATGCAGCTATATTTATCAGCTATTTTGTTAGTTAATTTTGTCACCGATATTTCTTGTCTCTATAATTATGAACGATTTTTCTCTATGACCAATTAAACAATCATTGCCGCAACTTCGCCGAAGGAAAAAATTGTAAAATTGACAAGATATAACAATCAGAAAGAAAAGCAATCTACAAAAATTCTGTGTAGTGACAAATCTTCTTGCGATAACTTCGAGAATCTCACACAAGTGTTCAAATTCCATCATTACGCATTACTAGTTACAATTTTGCACCATTAGCGGCCGCGATTCATCGGTTCGCGCAAGGTAGCGTAGTTAAAAAGCTCTCGTGCCGAGGGTAAGTTCCAAACTTTTGCGATAAAAAGCATAAAGTTTTAGGAAGCGGATAGAAAGCGTCGGTGATACCGGGCTACACGGTAACAATGAAATGCAGTGTAACTAAGTCCTTTTAACCCTCCTCTACCTCATCGTGTCCGACCATCCCTGCGTCTTTCCGTTCGCCCTACCTACGACAACGACTGATACGGTTGCACTTTCTCGAGCTTTCATTTACGAAAACAATTGTGAAAGCGTTGCACACACCAAAAGAGCAAAGCGGCAACGCGGCTTGAAGAGGGATGAAACCCCTTTACACTTCTAGCCGTGCACTCGCGCGCGGGTTGAATACTCTCGCGATGTAAATTCGCACTCGTAGATTCGTTTCGTTGTAAAGGATACCATCGTTATTGTTTTATTTTGTAGTCGGGAGAACATACTCGCGTTGTGTATGGATTTCCTGTGGCGGATTAAAATGCCCTTTGTTATAAATTTAGGAACGTGTGAGACTGCGGCAAGCACGCCGAGCGGAATATCAACCGCGATTTATTATTTAAAAAGAGTCCTTGAAGAGCAATCAGTGATTCATGAAAAATAGAGATAAATAACGTTAATGGATAAATGTTATCTTTTATTGCAATTTATTTATATATTAATTAATTTATGTATTATAATAATATAATTACATTTATCAAAATGCGTGTTTATATATTTTAAATTTTAAATAAGTTTCATATATCTCAAATTTATTCTTTTAAATTAGAAATGTTTATAATATAGAACCTTTTAATTTACGTGCTTGGTTTTTACACGCACTTTATTCGCGTCTTTATTCGCAATATTCAAAATCAAACCTTTTATATTGCGTCTTTCATATTGCTTCGTCATATTGCGCCTTTTACCACAGAATCAATATTCACAAGCAATTTGTTCTTACGCTGCCGTTTCATGAAAACTGCAAACGGTTATTAAGTTTCTAATTAATTTACCTGAATGAGGCGAGTGGTTTTGAATTTGATAATATTTAATACTCTGTAAGGACGAGGCAAAATGAAGCGTAATCAATTCGGTCTGAAGAGAAGCGCGAAATACCCCATTGCCGAATGCGCTTTGCGTCGCTTTCATTTAGAAACAATTACAAAAGTATCGGAAAAAAAAATAAAAAATAGTATACATTACCCAAAAAGAGAATGTTCCTACGTTGCGTGATGAATAATCGTACGTGACCTTAATTCGCGTTTAATGAATCGCATATTGCAGAGACAATATTTGCGCGCGATTTAATTCCGATGTCAGAATGACATCGTCATATTACACGCAGATCTCTCGCAGAGGAATCAAACTGCGTAGTTGTGAAAAGATAAATAGAAACGAGAATAAATTTATCTCATCTTGGCACAAGAAATGTACACTGAGGACATTTCCAAAACGTCGATATTGTTGCTGCGCGACAACGAATGGACGTACGTATGTTTTCTATGACATTTCCTTCGTGAGAGATGATAATGCATTCGAATGTGTTTGTATGAGTTCTTATGCACGGCGATGAACAATCGATGCCTGCAAATATGCAACAATTTGTAGCTTTCATCAATTTTTTTCTATGTACAATTTATGACTTGAGAAATTTTTCTTAGAGATGATCTATTTTTCAATAACTCCAACGATTAATTGATGAATTGCACGTAATTAAACACATACAAAACATGACTTGATCTATTATCCACTATTATCCACACAAGAAGCTTATTGTTGTATGCCATGATACGAGAAATCCTTCTACATTGATCTTATATGAGCTCTCGTTTCTATCAGTTAACTCGAGCTGAAAATTAGAGTTTCATTCGCTGTTCTTGGTTAGCCGAGATCTTCGACCGTCTTCCTCGTTTGAACTGTATAATTGAACAGACAAGAATATCCTCTAAGCTTTGGATTTTCACGAGTTATTTTTATCACGACCACATGATGTTTTGATTATCTACATTACTTAAAACTTCATATGTGTTTGAAATTGACTTACGTAGTTATATTTTGTTTAATTAATCAGCCTTCACGCACTCAATTCACAAGATAAATGAACAAAGAAGTAAATTGTCATTTTATCATATAGAGCATAAATTCTTTATGTCACATACATAAGAAAAGTTTATCTATATTTTCTACAGCAGATAAAGAGATAATTGGCAAGCATGCAATAAAAGCGAAACTTTACTTATGATAACAATTGATAACTTATGATAACATTACCTTGACTCGACTTATATCTTCATACAAACGATTAACTCGATTTAAATTAAATAATTTTCAACTTTAATTATATAATAAAATGATGTTCATTGTTGTATGTAATTTCAGGTATAATTACGATATACTGTCGACACAGATGTTAATTAGCATGTTTTTAATAGCGATAATAATTATATATATATATATATATATTTTGGGAAAGAAGTGAAATGGAACAATTCGGAGGGAATTGTTCTAGAAGTAGAGGGTATTTGATTATATATATATATATATATATATATATATCACATTTTATAGAGAATATAACACGGTTCACAGCTCAAACATATTTTAATAATTATCTATATATTTTTTGATAAGTATATATTTTTATATCAATGGCTTATTATTCTATTAATTACTATTTAATTAATTTTATATTATTGCTTATTACTTTGATAAATATCAATGTAACTTTCAATTTGTGTTACATAAAAGTAAATTAAATATTATATTAAATATAACAATAATGTAATAATAAAGTCGCGATAAAAAGTAGTTAAAACAATATTTCCCTCAAAATTTAATACAATATTCGAGTATAAAAGATTTTAATGAAAATTTGTCAAAGAAAAGAGTAAATACTTATGATTACAGTCAACTGGAAGTTCAACAAAGCGATATACTTGCGCCGAAAATCTTAGGAACGCGCTCTATGCGATTCTCCGCAAAGCTGGAATTTAAATTGTGCGTTAAGCTTGCAAGAAAGCTTTTACTCGTTGAATGTAATTTGCATATTTCGTTTAAAGGTTGGGAGGCTCGATAGCGCGTTAAACCGAGCAAAGAGATAACATTCGAGTGTACTTGGTAGAGAGAGAGGAGGATGGAAGGAGGAAGGGAGGAAGCATGGACGAGCCAGGTCTTTTGGGATAATAAGGGCGTATGGACGAAAACGTCCTTTAAACTATACGACGTTGTCGGGCGTTTATCTAACGACAGATTTCGGTGCCGATGCGATGTTGTCGGTGAACATCCTTTGCATATCGCTTATGAATTCGGCCATCGAGTCCTCCCGATGACGCAAACTTTGCCAGACCAGGTAATTAAGGGGCGTTTGACACGTGCGGACGGGGATGAAAATCCCATCGCGTTGTTATTTCGTCGCCTCCTGATATCCGCCTCTGACTACCGTAGCGCAGCTTAACGCTTTAATCTGTACCGCGTCGCGCAACTTCTCGCCCACGGATTTTCGACGAGGGGACGATTATGGAGGGTCTAAGCGACTGCGTGTTTGGAATAATAATTATTGTTGTTTAGCGAAGTCGTCGAAACGTGCCGCAGCATATAAAGCCCTTACGCTTACGTTTCAGCACTTTCTTCGCGCGTGGAAAATAGCCGCGATATCTCGAACCACATTCGAAAGATCGAAGTTATTCTTGAATCAGTAATTTTTTTGATTAAAGCGAATTGATGTAAAACGATTTAAATATATTAATATATTTATTATTATATAACCAATTAAATTACACTTCTTTTATATTTTAAAAAATGCTTTAATACATAATGCTGCGAGATGCAAAATGGTTTAAAGCATCAAGCATAAATATTTAATGAGAGAAGAGACGCACGAATTTTTCGATAGTACATTTCAGAGTATAATTATATTCTAAAAATGACATTAATATAAAAAATCAATTACGTCGCTGTTTTTCTGTTTGCGTTTTTTTTTTTTGCTTTTATAAGTCTAGGATTAATGTAACAAATGTTAAGAGTCTAAGTATATATTACGATGATAATGACTGCATAAAAAAGTTTACGACAAGCTGACACGAACAATATTTCAAGAACGCTTACAACTTAGAAAATTGATAGCTTTAATAACTTTATAAAATATGTTCTCTCACTAAAATGGGAATTTTATAAATTGAATTGTTGTATAGTAAAAAATGCGTTATATTTGTATAAATATAAAATGTAAATATTTTTTATAGGCAAAGATAGTTGCTATTAATAATAAAAAGGGCTATTTAAATACATGCTAAATCTGATATCTTTTTAAATATATATATGATATATAATTAGAGAGAGAAAATGAAACTTGCTTTTCTTATAGTAATATTTAGAGTTAAAAATAAAAAAAGATATATATTTCTTTTTATATTATAGCTTTATATATACAGATAATACTAATTATTTTGTGCTATATGATACAATGGCGATTAGGAATTCATTTTTAATATGAAAAATGGTAATTTAGAAGCAGAAACAAAGTAACAGTGCTTGATGCCGGTATCCACATATTTATCTAAATCTATACGGAATTCTGTTTCATTCTTGTTTGTTGTAACTTTATCTTTATATAAAGCCAAGGAGAAGATGCTTATCTTTGTTGCTCACAACTTTTATATGTACTACGTGAGCGTGTAATAGTGGCATACGTTTCATTTACCACGAATCAGCTGTCACTTCATTATATAAAAAGATTTCGCGTAGTTTTGTTTTGCACAGCTAAATACATACTAGTCTGCAAATTATCGTCGCTACTTGACGAATGCCAAGGCACGCTTGCGTATCTTCACTTAAACGCAACGAATGATTTTCATGTGCATTCTTGCACGTTCTTGTTAGCGTTGCCTAATAAATATCATTATAAAATAATTTTCTTCATGTTGTCATCGTGTTTACGAGAAATCTCTGCAAAATTTCATTATACAGTTTCAACATTCTCTCACGAAGAATTATGCAAATGTTAGTATCTTCCAGTAGTGACGTCAAAGAATTTAACGCAGTTATCATCTGCAATAAATGTCAGCGCAGCATTCTATATCATTCAATTAAACAGATAGCTGCACATAACACAAGGAGAAAAAAACTTGCGCTGCAATCAAAGTTAAAAAAAAGTGTATCTCAATCAATAAATAAACTCATTTAATTAACAATGTTTATGAAATGTTGACGCAAAAGACCGTCGTTGTGATACCAAGCCTCGGCTTACAGTATAGTTTACGATCGTCGTAAAAAAAAAAAAAAAAATTATCAGTCGCGAGAAACGAGGGTATAGTTTACGAGTGGGCAACATCATCCTTATATCGGACGGACCACTTGCGGATATACAAATCGCATATATATGCAGGAAGGGCAAAAGCCCTTTAGTGATATTCCATGATTGATTGTGACGTGCGTGCGTGCGCATCTTAAGCTCTTAGCGGTTGAGATTTTATTTCAAATCTTCTGTCTTCTCTGTAACATATGGCATAGCTAAACGACGAGTCTTGGTTTTGCCCGACGATGATGCGGTGCGTATACCATTGTGATATTTCGCGGAGAAACGGAAAGGAAAGGACTGTAGGCAATTTGACAATAACCAGCATCGTGGAAACTATTCGCTGTTCGCTTCGTTTACGGCAGACATCAACTATGCGACTCGGAGAAATCAGGTTAAATTAAACTAGATATGCTTTGGTATACAATTCGTAGCGGCACGCTCGTGTTTCAATTGCGCACGAAACTATGTATGTATTAGTATCCTGGCCCGATTTTACTTTGTGGCGTTTTGTCGCAAATGTGTATTTGTGCGACGTGTCTCGCGTCAGAACGCGCGATACTTTTGACGTTTTGGTCAAAAATGCGGTTTAGTCGCTTCTTGTCAAAAATTTGGTTGAATGTTAAAAAATTTTATAAAATAAACATATTACGCGAATAATATAAGTAATAAGTTATATTTGAGACATTATTAAGAATAATATTTTTAATGAAGAATATGCGAGTAATTTGTAGAAATCTTTGCAACACAAAAATGATGAAATTGACGAGAGATGAATGAAACGTTCGATCGTCCAGCAGAGACGAAATAATCAAAATCGCCAACGGGTACATTTTGCTTTACAGATTTCTCGCACCGCGTGAATACTCTTTTCTTAGAATGCGAAAATCTCGTTAACCGAGTTTCCTCTAGAAGACCAAGCGTCGATCCTCGAAATTCCAATGCATCTCCATCGTTCTCTTTCGTTTCGAGAGAGATGCTCTTGTGGATCTACGAGGCGCAGATTACCGCACGCGAGGTTAAGCCTTTGGGCGAGGCGAAATAGCTGAGCATTTTTACGCCCGGCGACGACTAAGGCGACGTACCCTTTGAGAAACACCCGAAAGAAAATGAGTAAATATAAGCGCCGGTACAAGTCTCTCCCCCTCGCTTTTTCTTGCCCGCGGTTTCGCATTTGCCTTGTCTGTGTGTGTGAAGAGTAAGCGTCTTTAGAAAATACCATCTTCTTCCAAGGCCCTTCCTCTGTGCTCCCATCGCGCCTCTGGCGCTCTCGCCCTTTTTACGAGCGCATCTTCCTCCTCTCGAAACAGCGCTAAAAAGGGGAATTCGTGGCTAACGTCGTTCGCTTGCTTGGTTGAAAACCCGATTGGCGTTGAAATAGGGATCCCTCGATGCTCGTTCAAGCACCCTAACCCTTTGAGAATCATGCGATTTTCCTTTATACGCGGTGTAAAGGAGCGATCTTTGCAGTTTACGAAAAGATGTGAAGAAAATGATTTTAATTTGTCTGCGATTTCTTTTAGATACGTATACAAATATTTAGAAGAAATATATCAAATGCTTACTTATGTAAGACACAGAGCATTTATATTTTTATAATTGATTAATAAATCAATTTCGAGTTGTATTACGCTTGAAAGTAGATACTTATGATTAATTTAGTTTAATTATTTATTTTTTAACATTTTTCGTTATATATCTCAAAAATACTATTCTATTAATACGTGAATTAGATCCGTGAAATATCAATTTTTGAAGTATGTCACGCTTTATTCACGGTTTTGTCCCCCTTGACGAGAAATCTATTTCCTTTCATATCTCGAAAAGCAGTATCTTTCGCCGGATCTTTCTCTTCAAGGCAAGAATCGTCCCTAGCACGAGACGCTTTTGCGATTCGATGATCTCGACAGTTGAGATACTCCGTTTCGAGTACCGGAAAAAGATACACGCTGGGCGTATTCGACAAAAAAGAAATCACTGCGGGAGGTAAACGAGCGGTTATCGGAAAGTACGAGAAGAACGTCGGAGATGCGTACGCCGAAGATAAATAAGAAATCACAGCTGTAAGCTGTGCTTCTATACAGAGAGCCGCGGAATTTTTCCGGCTCGTAAATAAGGAAACTCAGTCTTACGTAATCATCGCACCGCGACGGCGGAATCAGATGACGGTAAATTGTCGTCGTCGTTGCTGCGGCTGGAAGAGAAGGAGCGTTGGTTTGAGGGTAGCCTGCGTCCGTCGTAAAATAGGAGAAGTAGTTTATGCGCCAGCTCCCTTTTTTTCTTTTTTCTTCCATCGTGTCGTGAAAAAACAGAGAACGGTTGGAGTTACATGGATACACCGCGTGCTTTGGGCGCTCGATACGCTCGCTCGTGTCTTCTGTAGTGAGGGCGAAGAAACGCTTCGCGAAATACAGAACAAAGAATTTTTTTAGTTTCACGAAATACATTTATGTGCGACTCGCTTTAAAGCGCGCAGAAAAAAACTGACTGACAAAAAGTGGCGTAGCAAGTAACGTTTTCTGTGGTTGTTTGTACCTTTAAATGCTATAAGCTTTCAAACGATAAATCCACTTAGTTGTATAAAATAAAAAAATATATTGATTATTATTTTTTTAAACTTCTATTAAAATTTCAGCATTTTACAACATTTTATTTTTCAATCCTGTATAGTCCTGTATAGTTTTGTTTAATTCTCAATCTTGTCAATTCTATTGTTATTGATATAGTAATTATATTTTAACATGATTAGCATTTAAAATATAACTAAATTCTATATAAAATTTAAAACAATTTGTTTAATACTCATAAAAGAAAATTAAGGGAAAAAATGAAAGACAGATATTATATAATGGTGAAGAAAAAATAAATAAATCTTTAATGACAATTTTATGATAATGATGCAAAGAAATGAATATATATAGGCTGAAGACAGTACCCTAAGATGTGAATTTATCAAAATTTTTCTTATATTGCATCATTCTGTTGAGAAAGAAAATATCATTTTACTCTCAGTGCTTTTTCGAAACAGCTGAAATGTCTGAAGAACGAGAATTAGGTCCAGTGGACAGAAGCATGTCGCTCGTGACTGAAAGACAATAAGAGAGCGCCGACATGGAAGTGTGAAGTTTCTCGCCTCGAAAGGCAAGAAGATCCATCCAAGTTTCACCCTTCTTAAGGTGTAATGATGTCATAGGAAGTTCGTCAAGCTCTGTTGCGTTTCTTAAGTCGTTTTCTTGGTCAACGTTCCATTTTGTTCGGATCTCTCTCTTTTGTTTTTTATTCTAAAAATCTTTGACTGTAATTCTCTTTATATTTCGTCTATAATGATGAAAGAAGTGAACGAAAGCAACAAACGTGACTTATACTTTGTTCAATCTTTTCTATTTGAAAAGTCATGTTGAAATAAAATAAAGTAAGAATTTAATATTTTTAAAAGACCTAAAAACATTATTTAAAGCTTTCATTTAGATACGCACTCTTGTAAATATCATTGTACAATCTACTTATAAATAAATATTGGGAGAGAGAGAGAGAGAGAGAGAAAGAGAGAGAATATCTTGCATATAGAAATAATATTAACAAATATATAAAAAATTGTTTCTTCTTTATTGTCTGCACACGCGATATATTTCCAATTTCTTAATAAATGATTTTTTATTCAAAGCCGATGACGAAGAATAGCTATGTTAGACTTCACGTATAAAATATATTTCACATTAACCTAGTAACTGCGAACGTATCTTGAATACATCGAATACTAGACGATATATTTTGATCACGTGCGCGTCGGCGCAGATGTTGATAGTTTATTCCTTTGACCAGCAATAGAGAAACTGGAATGTTTCTTGTAAATATTTACTACAGTTATCTCTCATCTTCTCTCTTTCTTTTTTATGACTCTAGAAAGCTGCTATGCATAGGAAATATAATTTCTCATATTAATCTCGATTTTTATGGTGGATAGATGAATAACTAAAAAAAAATGAAAAAAAAAAGCGAAATTGATAAGAATACTTTTTTATCACAAAAGGCATTATAATTCAAAGAGTCCTTATCAATATTAATAGTAAGTGCATCGCGTAATATTCCTCAATAGCGCCGCTGGATTTCGCGAATCTTATTTGCGATGTATCTACAGTGAGAAACGAGCGCTAGGGATGCCGCATCGCAGGGAAGAAGTTAATATGAAGAAGCTCCGCAAAATGTAATGGCGCAATTCACACGGTCTTTGCGCAAACGACGATCATTCTTCTTCCGAAAGGCGGGCCTTTCATGCGCAACGACGTGTCCCGGCGATAAGAACCGGCATTCGCAAGAATTCATGAGCCGCGCTTCACGATGAACGAGCCTCGAATATGGGAAACGCGGGATCGAGGTATCAGGAAGAGCTCCCGCGGAATCGTTTGGTAAAACGCGGTCCGAGAACATTTCTCATTCGAACGGGAAGCCGTCTCCTCGAGGCGGCCGATGCTATCGGTGGGGAGAGAAAAAAAATTATGCGGCTAATCAAGAAGCACGAGTGTCGTTCCCCACTCAATGTATCATGTTGGATCTAGTGCGAGAAATGGCTTTGCTTGTACATATAAGATGTTTTCATCCAACGGCGTAACGCCTTCTCGATTTGAACATCTCTTTTGAGATTTTATTGCTTTATCATATTTAGTCTGTATAAATTTTTGTACAAACAATTTTTTAAGTTTGAAAATTTCTGTGATTCGAGATACGACAAAAAAAAAAATAATAAGGGATGTTATTGGAAACAAAGTAAATTTCTGTTCTTTTTGCATGTTATGTAAAATAGGACATCCTATTACAAACGTAATAAAATATTACAAATGTGATAAAGTTCAAAGAATATTCAGTTGCAAAGAGATTATTGTAAAATGTTATCTTTACCCCGTTATGTATAACTTTGAAAATGTCTTATCCTTGATCATAAGGATGTGAATCTATTTCATGTGAAAATATATTTCACACAAATTTACGTGTAAAGTTTAATATGCTCTGAAACGTGTTCTCCCTCCAATCGATTAGTCAATGAATATTCAATGTAGTTTCCCACGCGGGAATTCATGCGATTGCAGCTTCGTTCTATCAGCTTATCCTCAGATCTACGATCATCGTGTAACTCCGATAGTTACGCCGATGCGGTGATTTCAGCGGTGCAGAGAGAGAACCGTTTCCGGTTTTCGCATGGGGGTCACACCCGCCCTGCATTTACGAGCTGCCCTATAGCTCATAGAATCTTCGCCGCGATCTTGGGGGTTATCCCTCGGATGCCCCGTACGAGCGAGAGAAATGTCGAGGTTTTGGTAAATCGATGAGCTTGCATTAAACATCTCGGCCCGCAGCACAACCGCAGGCCAACGACTGAGAATGCTCATGCGAATCGTT